ATTCTAAGTTTGCATTTGAATTTGAATAGTAGGTCTATTGTGATGATTCTGTCCTTCCATATTTGCTTTTATAAATGTGTTTGGCTAGGTTTTTTTCAATTAGTAGTACTACTCTAAACCTTTTAACTTGGTTACTCGTGTTGCTCCATTTGGTTTGGTAACTGAGAAAATGAATAAAGTTTCTTTTCGCATTACTGAAGTTTGTTTCTATAAGTGTAAGAATGCTTGATTTGTATTTATCAATCCATTCTATCCAAAGGAGCAGTTTTACTGAATTTGATTTAAGACCCCTGACATTTATTGTAAAGATTTTTCAGTTTGTCCTGTAATTTTGTGGTTTGGGTTAGGGTTAGGTTGTTGTTTATGTGATGTGGTAATATTATCTATTGATGTAACTGACTTTTCTTGTAGTGATTGGAATTTGTCATAGGGTTTTGATGATAATGTATTGATATTTTTATCTATTGTGGAGTCTGTATCTGACCATGTTGGGTTTGTTTTGAGTTGTTATGTTGTGAGTATCTAGCTAATGGTATAGAAATAGTAATAATAGCATTGTTTCAAGTATTGACTTTATAATAAATTATCATTTTATTGTTTTTTTTTGGTCAAATATCTATATAACAAAACTTTATTAATAAACTTGGCCAAGTCTATTTAAAAAAAAAATTATGTAAATAATATCAAATAATTTATAATATGAATAATTCTTTTCACATGTTTTATAAATTTTTGTTAAATAATAGATAAATAGTTATCAAATTTTTAATAAATGATTAATAAACTTTTAATAAATAGTTTTGATAAATAATTACAAATTTTTAATAAATAGTTAACAAATTTTTAATGAATGGTTTTGAGAATAGTTAAAGAATTATTACTAAACTATTAATAAATTTTTGACAAATTATTAATAAATTAATATTGAATTTTTATTGAATTGTTAATAAATAATTTTGTGATGAACTTTTATTGAATTGTTAATAAATTTTTGCTAAATAATTAATAAATAATTTGATAAATTGTTAATAAATTTTTTGACAATTTATTGTTAAACTTTTAATTAATGAATTTTCAATTAATTAATCTTTTAATTGCCAAATTTTTTATTCATGAATTTTTTATTGCTACTTTATTGCTAAAATTGTAATATACTGAGCAGCAGCAGTTGAAAAGAATTCAGCAATATTTTTATTATTAAATTTAATTAAATTTAATAATAATTCAACTGTTGAATAACATAATTTGCACTAGTATAAAAAAAAAAACAAAAAAACAAATTAATAGTTTAGTTAAATCTAAAAGATGAAAAATTATTAAATATAAGAAATTATTAAAATATTTAGATTATAAGAAATGTAAAATTAAGAAAAGTATATTAATATATAAGATTTAAAGTGATTAAAAAGTTAGAAGAAAAAAGTAAAAAATTTTGAACAAAATTTAATAAAGTAAAATTAATTGAAACAAGTTTCAAAAGAATTAAGCTAAAATTTTTCAAGAAAAAAACAAATAAAAAGAAAGAAAAAGAAAGAAAAGAAAGTAGAAAAAAATAATAATAAATAGTTTAATCAAGTAATTTTGTGATTTTGTAATTTTATAATAAATTTCATAAAATTTGTTAAAAATAGGTAATTTTTTAAATACTTATCAAATTTTAATATTATTTTAATATCACAATATACTAGATTTGTTACTGAATTTTTTTCATAATATATAAATTTTTTTTGCAAATTTTTTTTATTATAGTATATTAAATTTGATGTTGATTTATTAATAATTTTGATTTGTTAATTTTTTGTTGAAATATCACCAATATTTTATATGCAGAGTAATAACAATCAAAAAATATTTTAAAAGTAAATTTAATCAAATTCTGCAATAATTTGTGTATTGAATAATGTATTTTTGAATTATAATTTGCTATAGTTAAATTCATCAAATAATTAAAAAGAATGAAATTAATAAATTTAATAATAAATTTCATTGATATACTATTAAAATTTTTGATACGAAATCTTAAAATTGGAATTATCGTCGAAAATAAAGCCAATACATTATTATGGATATTTTATTAAGTCCATTAAAGCTTAATTTGACATATATTGTATTTGTATTTTACAAATATATTTATGATTAAAAATCAATTTCAAAAATATTATAAATTGTTTATTTCAATAAAATTATGTTATCGAAATATAGAGTGAAATAGTTTGAATAAATAGAAATTACCATAAATGAATAAAAACTTTTATAAAACAGATAATTATAAAATTCGGTAAATAAGCATCTACATTCTATAAATATTAATGTCGATTTACAGTAAGTGCCTAATTATCGGATTCTACGAAAAGAATCATTAACTGTTTTACTGCATAATGTCTTGAAACCTGGTTATTATGTCAATATCTTGTATGACAATCATTCGTACGTACGTTTTATCACGTGACAAATTGACGAAATTCTTTTTGTTACATTTCGGGCATCAATTTGATGGAAAGAATCGAGCAGATTGTGCTCGATCTCTTCATACAAATGCACATCTGAGAATTCCATGCGAATAGATTTGAACATTTTTGATTAGTGCGCGGAAGGACTTGGATGAACGAACAATACCAAGCTGTTTGCCGTGACGAATTGTATGCGACCAATTACTGTATTTAACACACTTCTTTCTATTTAGTATTGTTAGGCTGCACGTTTTTATTAATAAACATTTCGAATGCGTGTATCGTAAAAACTGCCGTCGCATCGTTCGCTACAATACGAGCGGTGGTGATGCAATTAAAGAATAAGATTTTCATTCTTATGAGTTCATACAATATTTTCATTGGTTCTCCGATCAACATTTTTTTTTACATTTTCGAACATAATTAAATTTAAGGATTAAGGACAATAATATCAAGGATAATCGGTCATATTATTTCTAGAATAATATTAGTTTGTTCCCATTCCGCAATAGAATTCGCTAGTAATTAGTAAAATTTCGACGATGCGTACTTGGTCCATTCCTCGCTTCTCGCGTGCATTCACTTCACTCTCACGCTGACTGAATAAAATTATTATGGGAATAAATGACTCTTTTGAAGTGGTACTTGACATGTGATTTTCCCAATCCGTACATTTTGAATTTCATATAGGGTTCATAAGGATCAACAATAGAGGTTTAATAGACAATAATCTCGAGATTTCATTTTTCCCAAAACTTGAACCGTACGGACGTATGGAAAGTAAACATAACAGAGTACTAAGGATTTTATTAGGTTGTGGTTTCTATTATTGTCACGTGACGTCGTGTGATGACAATATTAATTAATATGTGAGAACAATATTTCAAAAATGGTAATGGTTATACCTGTACGCAATGATAAATAATAGCCATAATAGTTATCTTGGTTTTACCATTACGTATTGTTCTAAAAGATTATATCGCATGTAAGTATTACTATTATCTTATTCCTCACCCTTGTTACAATCTTCAATTTGCATCTAAATGCTATTATCCCTCATAAGTTTACCATTTGACGAATCCCAAATCTTGATATACACATATATAATTTCAGGATGGTCAACGTAACACAATTTATGAATAAAATAAGTTTTTCTCCTTTTTAATTATTATTTTATATTATTTTTACTTGGATTGTTCTATTTATTGAACAATGCAAAGATACAGTAACGATCTTCGCGCAATTATCCCATTGTATGCAAGGATAATTCGAAACGACATTATACTTTATTTATTCTCAAAAAAAAAGTTATATTATATAAAGACCTCATCCTCCCACCTCATGCTTTACTTTCCAACCACAAGAAAAAATTATTTGTAAATTTCAACTGCGTTGAATAAATCACTGTTTGATTCGTCTTTAAGCTTGAAAAGTGAACACGACACTTTCTTTAAAACATTTCGTTTCCTGTTAAAAAACAAAAAATAACGACAAAGCCACAATGATTGTACCTGTACAAAGAGGTATGAAGTGTCCTCATTTAGCTACCACTTGTTCTTCTTTGTTCATATAGTCTTCTCTAACCACTCACTCTTTGCATCAACAGATTTCGATATCCTACAAATCGCATACATCTTCCGCCCGCTAATACAAATTGCGATGATCATGCTGGTGGCGATGTATCTTGCGTGGTATTTGAGTATGTATTATTTACCAATACGTTATTCTTTTAAGTCCTAGTATCATTCTTCTTATCTTTCTTTTGAATTTTGACAGAACTAGTAATAGAAATAATAACTGGTCGACCAATCTCTTCATTTTCCCCTACAAATCGACGACCACACAATCAAATTATCAACAGAAATATTAATAACCATATTCAACAACAACGACAAATCGATTTTCTTTTACACCGACGATTCAACAACGAAAACCGAGAAGGACCGAGAGACGAATTAAGATTCGAAGATGTGATAAAGAGTTTGTGGATACCAACGAGATTTGTTTCCCTGACTTCTATTATATGATGAAAATTTCGTTCTCGGAAATCTCGACCCATTTTAGGCACAAAGGACGAACGTGGAAAGCTGGACTTTCCTTTTTCCCCAAATCATGCTTTTGACGTCACGTGTTCTCCAATTATTTATTGGAACGAATCAAACTGTTAATACTATTTATTTATGTAATCTTTGTAATCGATCCTTTCTCCTGTACATATTTTTTTTTTTATTTATTTTATTTTTATAATTGAACGAGATGATAGGGATAAGACAAAAAACCCACTAATAAAGTTACAAAAATTGTTTTAATCACAATTGCGGTTATCGTCATGCTTAAAAGTCACATGATAAGGCCCAGTTCGCACCTGAAGTAGGCGAGCAATTCTGTTTTTGGATTTCAACTATTCCTTATTATAACACATCTCCGAAGTAAGGAATGAAATTCAATAAACCCTCGAGAATCCTCGTTATCTGGGGAATCGGAAGGTTTTGCGAATAAAAACAAATATTAAATAATAGATTCAATATAATTACCCAAACCACGTCCGCAATGGCACCAACAACATTCAAAATCACCACCGCGCCTCCAAACTCAATTACTCGTCGTTTCACAAGTCCAACTTCGACACCCTCGTGGTCCGAATTAGAGACCAGAATCAGAAGCCTCTTTCGAATAAGCCCTCTTGCCTCCATCGGTCTCACCTATATCGACGAAGATGGTGACACCATCACTGTTTCTTCCGATGCTGAACTTCAAGAAATTTATGAGGCTCAACAATTACAAGCCGAGAGAGACGAAGAAAGTCGACAGCGATTGAAAGAGCTACAGGAGAATTTTAACAACAGGAACGAAATAACCGGTGATCAAGAAAGTATCGTGTCAAGCCTCGGTGGCACGGGCTCGAGGAGGGAAGGTGCGTCCGAGTCGGAGGCGGCAGAAAATATTTCGGGTCGCGCTGAAAACAGTGATTTCGCGGGTGCCATGATAAATAGTGGGAATAAATTGACCAAGAAATTCGGATTGGTAATTTCACACGAACCTGGTAATAAAAAAGATGACGAGGTTGAAAACGAGGAAATTCCGGGATGCCTCCAGCAGTAAATTTCCATTTTTCATATATAGAAATTTTTCTTATCGTATTAATTCACGTCGATTTTGCAGAATTGCGAAATTCGCTTTTAATTTTTTAACCGATATAATAAAATTCATCGTTAATACAGTATGCCACGTATTTTAAAATTTAATGCGTAAGATGAAATGATAATTTTATCAAGATATGTTTGACTTTGTACACTTTAAAAAGGTGTAAACCAAATAACAATTAACGAATTGATTTTATCTTTCTTATTAAAGAAATTTCTGTTCGACAAGATCTAATGGCCATTTTAGGTTTTGATATATATGTACAAACACTTTTTATTAATCACATACATTTCAACGGCGTATTTTTATAATAAAATTGACTCGTTATGCTATATAAAAGCCAAAACGTATATGAGAAAACAAATATTTTAAATTACCAATAAATCAATTTTTAAAAGTTTTAAAACGTCTCAAAATAACCGGATTGATATGAAAGCTTGACGACAAACAATAAATAAGCTACTTTTCTTGTGCTGGAAACCTTTTTTTTTTTTTGTCCAATAATAATAATTTTTTTGGAAAAGCTATAAAAAATATGTCTATTGTTTTTAAAATTGCAAGTAATGATACATTTTAAACGCAATGATGTGTAACATCTCTAACCGTTAGGAAACAAAACTTGGATGTTATAAATAAAACCAAGATCGTTCCGTTTGTTAATCAGTTGTTTGCGATACGTGCAGTGTAAATAAAAAAGAAAAGAAAGAAAAGAAAAAAGCGATATACTTGACGCGTCCTAAACAATTCATCCGAATAAAAAATATTTGTCACATGAATTATTGTACAAATCCGGTGTTATATTAAAAGATGCGAGGTAATGGTTTCAAGGGAAGAAGATTTACAGTATGTTAAGATTAACCAACTATTAACTTGTACATATCGATACGATCGTCATTATTTCTATATTTGATATCAAAAATTACTTCGAAATTTTCAAAATATTAATAAACAGGCGTTACAAACGTGATATGCAAAGAGACGTTAAGAGCGTACCCTTTAAGGTAAAATATTGAGACAGGCTTATGACTGAAATTATGCGGACCAATCTGATACCGATAAAACTTCAATATCAACTTTTAAACCGTCGTGCGCTGGTCGAACCTGCCAGAAATCAGATAAAGTAACAACAGCATCAACAAACAGACCAACTTCCGCTAATTCAAACTTAATAACAACGACGTCAATATACCCATAATTCGGGTTCTTTTTCTTGTAGCATCTTCAACTCCTCTATCAATTCGTAATGCTCTACGGCATGAGAAAATCCTACAAGATAGGTTCGTTTTGGTATCGGATTCAGATTTCTCGTTGTGTCAATTGCTTGCTCTATCGAAAAGTGCGAGGAATGTGATTTATCTATCAAGTTTTTTTTTTCAAAGAAAAAATAAGGGTAAAATCTTAAACAGGTGTACAATCGATCGTTGCGTGGATGCAAATGCGCAACTTACGACACAGGGCATCTAAAATGACAACGTCGCTTCCGTGAATTTTAGCCATTGTTTCTTCGGGAATATAATTACAATCAGAAATATAAGTAATATTATCGAATCGAAAACCCACATAGATGTAAGGTTCCTTTGTCGTGAAATAAACGCCGTGGTGAACTGGAAATATCATTAAAAGAATTAATTAATCATATAGTAGGGGAATAGATGTTGATGCGCATTAATTACCGGGCAAAGGGGTGAATTCTAATCCCTCGACTGTAAAAGGTGTCTGCGAATCTATCAAGTGCCATTGAAACTTTGGTAAATCTCCTCCTCCTAAATAAAATTTACAAAAATTGACCTTAATATATATTTCGTCGAATGACAGAACATCAAAATCTTTCGCCCATCGATTTCCACACCAGTCGCTTGTTTCGAATCTACCAAGTATGAAAACAATGTTTTGACAGAGTCCAAAGTGTCATTTGTGAGATAAATTGGAATGGAGTCTTGGATGACCTCGTGTAGTGTCCAAGCTCTTAGGTCATCCAGTCCGTTTATCGCATCAGCGTGCGGATGTGTTAATATTACGGCATCAATTTTCCGTAGTTTGTGAATCGGCCACCACTTCAATGCGGAAACTGTTGGGAGGTAGTGATCGGGTTAAAGGATGATGAAAAATATTCCGCAAACGAACCTGAACCTCCAAGCATCTTACCGTAAAAGGTCTTTCCACAGTCGATAACAATGTTTCTGATATGAATTATATCAAGAATTATCATGGAAAAAAAGGTGCGATTAATGAGCAAGCAAGCAATCAAAGACAATGAAACATAAAGAGGTTAGATCTGAGGGTGATAAAATTATTTACATTAATCAATTCAAAAAAAAAAAAAAAGAAGATTACTTAAACACAACGTGGAATAACCTCGTACGCCTTTTACCTTATTCTACCATCCTCATTATTGACCCGAATTAATAAACTGGTATTTCTTCTTATGTTAACCTCTCCTTCAGGCTTGAATGTGGATGAACAGGTTTTACAGGTTGGCTCTGTTTCGGTGAGACAGGCAATGGTCGGAACACCCGAGGAAGTGCCTGTTTACCGAATATAAAAGAACAGAGAGATCATTATTCAATAACACGGAGCTATGTAAGCAGTGGTGGATCGTCATGCGTAATCCCACCTGTTCCCAGAAATATGATTTCCTTGACCTGACGGGTGGGCATCGTTTCGATATGCCGACGAAAAAGAAACCTATTCGTATGATTATCAATAACGAAATTATTTTTGTGCATACGTACGGATTATTGATTCATCATTTGTACACCGTGTCACAGGATTGATTACCTGACTAGGATCACACTTTATTACCGTATACTGTATACAGTACAGTGCGCACGTATTGGGCAAAACAGCTGCAGAGACTTTCCTAGAATTATTATTGCAACGACCGCTTCCGACTATAACATCAACAGCAAAGGATGTATTATTATGGTTAGAATCTTATGATTCTTATTTTTAAAATTCTGTAATTACCATTAGCAGACGGTTAAGAATATTAAAACAACATTTCTACAAAGTGAATGCATGTGTGCTATATACACTGTTCAAAATTATGATTACATACCCGAGGGGTTTATCTATAAATGTTCTTCCGGCTACACGTCAAGATTTCATATGTTCAGGACTGCAATTAGTGTGACAGCGTTAAAAGCATTTGAGAAATAAAATCTTACCGCGTATATCTTAGACGAAACTACGTGCGCACGCAGATTATCAAAGCCAATCACAGATCGTCGCTAATAATAAGCTTCCAAGTACGAAGTGAACTTCCGAAAACAAAAAAAAAAAAAAAAAAATGTTGGCAGCTGTCGAAATTTCTCCCAAGATAATGTTAACCACAATCCTCGAGGATATCCACATTCATGGAACAGCTTTCATCATTTTAGCACTTACCACGTTATTGGCAATAGTAGCTTTCAAACTGAGAGGGGATGAAATCGTCGAATTTTCAGTACCGGTGCCTTCTGGTAAATTCGAGCTGTTATTAGAGGATGTCTAACAATCGCCCTCGTCCATTGTACTAAGCAAAATGCATTCGTTTCTTTCACTAAAAGAAGCCAAACCGGGGTGGCGTGATGGTAAAACTTTGGATAAACCTAGTTTGAAAGTAAAATTCGGTTTCACCTTTTTCGTTGACACCTTCCAGGGTGTGAAGCACACACTAGTTAATCTTTATCGATTTCGCGTATGCACTTTGCATATACTTGTGTAGGACCCAGAAAATCCTGGATACATACAATCCTATGATCCGGCGACAGGAAAACTTCTGGATATTATAAAAGCGCACACGGAAACTGATGTTTCCGAGGCTCTAAGTAAAGCTCGTCACGCGCAAAAAATGTGGGCACGAACGACATTCTCTGAAAGAAGAAGAGTGCTAAAAAGTCTATTGAACTTCATTGTGAAGAATCAGGAGGAAATTTGTTGGGTTTCATGCAGGGATACGGGAAAAACTTGTGAGCTTAATTACGACTTATTTGGGGGGACATCGTGGACGTGATGATTCCAATCGATCGAAATTCTCACTTTTTTCGTGTTTATTTACTTTTCTATCCAGTTGTCGATGCAAAGTTTGGAGAAATTATGGTGACGTGCGAGAAAATTCGATGGACAATTAAGAATGGCGAGAAGGCGATCTCGACGCAATACCAGGAATCACCTATCATTATGCCCTACAAGATACCGAAAATTGAATTCGAACCACTGGGTGTTGTTGCAGCCTTGATCTCCTGGAACTACCCGTAGGAATTCTTTTTCTATCCTCGCGAATCATTACTCCGCCACAATATTAAATCAACATTCCCACATTCCGTAAAAACTTTAGATTTCACAACTCACTCGGCCCAATAATAACAGCGCTATTTGTGGGGAATGGAATATTGATCAAATGCTCGGAACAAGTTGCGTGGTCCATGCGTTATTACAGCGAGATTATAAAAAGTTGTTTGGTGCAGTGTGGGCATGACCCCGATGTCGTGCAATTTCTGTGTGGCTTTCCGGATTGCGGAGAAGCTCTTGTGAGAAGCGGGGTCGACGGAATTACCTTCATCGGGTATTGTCTCAACTTCCTAAACTTGCGGTTCGATGATTTATTCCAAGTTTAAATTAATCACGAGAATCGTTCTAATTGCATACGTACATGATAAGTTCACCGCAAGTAGGAAGGAAGGTAATGCAATCCGCATCGGCAACATTGACTCCTTGTATCTTGGAGTTGGGTGGCAAAGATTGTGCAATCATTCGTCACGATGCAAACTTGGACCAAACGATTCCGATAATTCTGCGAGGCGTATTTCAAAATTCCGGACAAAATTGCATTGGATTTGAAAGAATCATTGTGCACGAAAAATTGCACGATGAACTTGTGAAAAAGGTTTATGACAAGATCAAGCTGATGAGGGTGGGATGCTCGTTAAACGATGAGGATAGAGCTGACGTTGGTGCAATTACGATGGGCGACCAGGTATGAAATTTGTTTTGCTCGACAACCGAATTTATTTAGCACCCTCGTGTTTATAATTTTTTTCTTCCAACACAGTGTGAAAGAATCACGGCTCTCATAAAATCTGCTGTATCTGCGGGTGCCACTCTTGTGCATGGCGGTCACGCTTATATTCACCCAAACTACCCGACGGCCCAGTACTACGCCCCAACCCTGTTGACCAACGTGACTTCCAAGATGGAGATCTCACAAACAGAAGTGTTCGCTCCAGTGATGATAATAATGAAATTTAAAACCGACGAGGAAGCCATCGAGATTGCAAATAGTGCGCCATACGGGTTGGGTAACTCGGTGTTCACCTCGAACCAGGGTGAGGGAGACCAAATAGCAAGAAAATTGAGGTGCGGAATGGTAGGCGTGAATGATTTTGGCGTTACCTACATGTGTAACCTACCATTTGGCGGGGTTGGCGGTTCCGGATTTGGAAGATTTGGAGGTGTGGAAGGGATAAGATCCCAATGTTTGATGAAGTCAATAGCACTAGATCGATATCCATCATTGATTCGAACCACGATACCACAAATTTTGAATTATCCAATTTCCACCAATGGATCAATGTTTGTGAACAATTTGATTGAAGTAATTTACGGGAATAGTCTGACGGATAAAATCAAGGCTGGCATTAAGATGATTAAGAATAGCAGGAGGTGATTTCGTAATATTAAGTTAATAAAGGAAAATTTTGAATAAACCTGTGTTGTTTGACCCTCGATATGAAAGGTTATTTTTTTTTTTTTTTTTTGAATCCGATAATCTTTTCGTGGGCAGCTACAAAATAACGTAATTTTTTTGGAATATGAAGTTAAATATAAGTTGACATGTGCAATTGAAGTGTAATGGCTCCCAGGAACTTCCTTGAACTAAGTCCTACGCAAGAAATCGGAGTCGTTTAAAATCTCCAATAAATTTATTTGGTATTTTAAAGAATCGCTCTAATCACAAGAATCCCAAAGCATTATAATGGCTCCGCGAATGTTCCGAATATTATCGCAATATAAGGTGGCGTTTGCCGAATGACGCGCGATTCTATTGTTTAGCTGTTGACTGCAATTTGATTCATTTTGGCACGCGTTTTTCTTTTTCGCCATCGTCGTTACGCATCTACTTCTACCACAGGCTACGCTCCATAATAAATAACATTATTATTATTATTTTTTTAAAAAAAAATAACGGAGGGAAGTGCAGAAAGAGTTTATGGATATCCTTAATATCCACTCCATCATAAAAAATAAATAAATACACAATGAAGTTTTATTTATATAGTTACAGTATATTGATAAGATATTAATAATTACGTATGTACGTATGTTTGTCTATTTATATCTTTGGCAAGTTTCGCAATAGACTTGAAAAACATAACATATAATTTTTGTGGTATAACATTATCCAAGAATAAAGTTGTAATACTGTATAATAAATATAACACTGAAATAGATATTGATATGATTCTAAATTGAAACTTACAGTATATTGATATACTGTATACCGTATTAAAATACTGTATAATCAATAGAAAATAATTTTTATTCTTGTTATATAACCATGTACTGTACATAACAATTCTACTCGTGAAATCATTCCTCAGAAAAGAATGCATCAACTTGAAATTTTAATATACACCTTTCTTTTAAACATAATATTTATAATGTCACAATTTAAGATTTCATCAATTCTAACTTGGACGATGTCGTTTTACGGCTTACAAGATCTAACACAGCTAACAAACAAAATTGTTAACCCGATTAATAAATCCAAGAGATATCTACTGTATGTAATATGATAACCCAGGATCGTTATGCGACAATCAGAATCAATCTGATTTTTACAATTTTGAATGCTCTAATGTACATCGAATTTTGGATAGCGTCTTTGGAATTTTTTAAATAACAAAGCTCAATAAACTTTATTCAATAATATCATTTTGCATAATGAAAGATGCGATTAGTCTTTTTGCAATGGAAGATTAATGTAATTGTCGATGACTACGAGAAGGGGTATTTTTTTCCTTATGGAGTCATAAAAATGTGTGTGGTGATATCAACTAAATTATCCGTTCAGTTATCCCTGTCAGTAATGCATCTGCGTCGTTTTCCCCTCCTTCCAAAGCCTTTTTCAGCCAATACACGGCTCCTATATAGTCCCTTTTCGTTCCTATTGCATACTTGAGGCATTTTCCCACCTGCAACTGACCAAACGGATAACCATTTTCGGCTGACTTTAAATACCATCTAAAAGCACTCTTGTCATCTTTTGCCGTCCCGGACCCAGAATAATAGCAGTAAGCAACGTCACATTGTGCTTCACCTGAACCGGCAATTGCACTTTTCATATAAAATTCGAATGCCTTTTGAGCATCTTGAGGTACTCCCTGCCCGTTATTATAACAATCTCCCACCATGTCCTGTGCCTTAATATTGCCCTCATTTGCGGAGTTCAAGTACCACTTGAACCCGGTCGCTTCATCTTTGGAAGTCCCTTTGCCATTAAAATAGTCATACCCAAGATTAAATTGACCTAAGGGATTTCCCAACATCGCGGATTCTAAATCCTTCTCGAGCGCTTTGGCCTCATCCTTTTTTGTACCAACACCATTGCAATACATGTAACCTTCACATGAAAGCGCCTTGCTTGAACCTTCCTCGGCCGATTTGGAAAATATCTGAAATGCCTTTTCTGAATTCTTCTCTACACCTTTCCCATTCAGGTACATGAGACCAAGGGAGATAAGCCCAATTTCATGGTTACATCTTCTAAACGACTCCAAAGATTCAAGTGCATATGGATTTTCAATGTTAAAATCTATTTCATCGCTGGCAGCTTGTGCGCATAACTCAAAGGCCAATTTCAAATCAATCTTCGTCCCAATTCCATATCTGTAGAAAAATCCTATCAGACTGGTAAAATGGTTTTTGTGCTTGTGCTGCAATAATTGATGAAAAACTTTACACGGATTTTTGTTGGATTTCTTTATATAATTCCTAATATAATGAGCCACGTGTTCGGTGTTAAGCTGTTTGTTGAAATCTTCGACGTAAACTTTAAATAGGCTTTTTATGAAGTAATCAAATTCCGTGATTATTTCAAATTTATTTAAATTTGAAGAAGACATCATCTCTTTCGATGGAATAGGATAATTTGTCGTGCAATTTGCTGTATCACCGCACAAATCGATCTCGCCAAGTTCTCTGACCACACAATCAATATTCGGACGCAGTGAAGGGTCATTACGAAGACAACCTAGGAAAAAATATATATATATATACCAAACGTGGGTTACAATCATTGATGATTTATAAATGATAAATAGCTTGAAATGATTGTACCTGTATATATTTTCACATACTGTTGCGGTGTATCTATAACTATCGTTCGTTGTTTCCTTTTCCTTAAAAATTTAAGAAATTGAACGTTCCTTAATGATTTTGCTGAAAACGACGTAACTCCGCCTGATATTTCCCAGAGGATCATTCCAAAGCTATATATATCCATGCTTTTTTTTAAAAAAGCGGTGTTATCATGCATTTTCAAAACTTGAGAATCTTGATACTGAAATTGACCAATTTTCTTCATAAATTTTGTGGACAAAATTCGTTTTCTCAAAATTCCCGGACAAGGTAATTTGGCCTTGCTATTATGAATCAGAATACTTTCTGAATCCTGTTAAAACATTGTAAGTTCAAGTCAAACGGATACCCCTAGTGCGACGACAGCGTAAACATAATACGTTGAATACATACCAGATTCCCATAAACGATGTCTTTCGAATGCAGGTACATCAATCCACTTGCAATTTGCAATGCAAGTTCCAATTTAGTCCTCCAGCTCAAAGACCTAGAATTATTTATCAAGAAGTGATGAAGCGATCCATCATTACAACATTCAAGAACTATTACATATGCATTTGGAATTTGTTCTACAAAAGTAATTCAATTCGTATGGTTAATGGGATGATGATAACAACCTTTTAATGGACTATCAGAAGATACCTTGCTCGCAAATGCCCAAGAACCTTAAAATATTATCGTGAATTCCTACTCTTTTTTGCTCTTCTATCTAGTAAGTTATTGCCAATTGGACATGATTAATAGCTAACGAATAATAACAACTTGAACAAAAATAACAGTGCATAAAAGATCGCAGAAAATCATACAGAATCTAAAAAATCTTCCAGGCCAAATTCTTCGTTCAAAGTGATTGACTTAAGTACAACGGTTTCTTTGCTTTTCCTACTAATTGCTCTGTAAATGGTCCCTCTTGATCCGGAGGAAATTCTTTTCTTATTATCGAAGTCATCGTGTCGGTAAAGTGTGATGATATTCTGTTTTTTATTGATTCGATAATCCATTAAAAATTAGAAAAACGGATCTTAAAGGAGAATAGAGGTACATACGTAGAGATGTATCCATACATGCGTACATATTATTTAAAATGATTGTCGACATTTGTGAAACGTACCGCAGCAATTTTTTGTATTCGAGAACATAAAAAAGAAAGCATTTGTTTATTTAAATTCGCCTCACTTTTCCTTTAGAAATTTACTTGGCCTATTCACCGTGACGTATAAACGACCAATTAAAAGTGAAGCGTGTGATGCATAACGATAAATTAAGTTATTTCCTAAATAGCATTAAAGACGCACGTACGTAATGTTTATTTGATGGTAAGATATCATATGAATGAAGTTTAACATGCACGCAGGCTATAAATTTCATATTTACAATACCAACCGGAAACTCATCATTAAAAATTATTGAATAATTAGTTCAAAAGAAGAATATTTACTGTACATATGTATATGCATGACTAATCCAGGTTTCTATTGACATCATCAAGATGAAATTGATATATTGGAGGACAAAACGATCTAACCATATTGGTTGTTCCATTCCAATTAATTAAGCTTTTGTAATGGCAAAAGGTAATATACATATCAATCTGCATAATTTTAATTAACGATAGGTTTAAAATATTTTTATATGCTCAATGATTTTATACTAAACACTATAGTTTAATTATTAAAATTTCAATTAATCATCACTTATACAGATATGCTGCAGGTTTGACAATTTGATTAACTAGCAATTTTTTTTATACAGTATATCAAATAAATTCAAAATGAAATTGATACTCGCTTTATCCAATTAAAATAAATAAAAAAAAGATTTCAAAAATAATTTTATTTTGGTATCAAATAAAATCAAATATTTAAAAATTATAAATATTTTTACTTGACATTGTTTAAAATTAAAAATATATTTATTTGTTGTAATAAATTATTTTTAAAATACTATAATACTTTTTTTTATGAATAATAACAAATTTTGATGTTATATTTGATATATAACATTTAACTTATTTTCTTATTCTAATTGAATAAGATATAAATAACTTGCTTTTTGTGCTATTTATTGATTTGTAAATTCTTGATATTATAAATAATTATTTATATCAATTGTTTTTAAATTTTATTTTTTTATAATAAAGTTTACTCTAGTATAAAAATGTGTTAATATTTAAAAATTTTTTTTTTAGTTTGCTTTTATATATTATTAATTTAAAAACTAAATTGTTTAAAAATTATAAAAATAAACTTTGAGTGAATATTACAATAGTAGTATTTCCAAATCACAATCACAAAATTTTTAATCATTTGAAACGAGATTAAAAATTAGATTAGATTTATAAAAATGAAATTTCTGACCTTCCATTGATTAGAAACTGAAATTATTATCAAAAAGATTGTATGCAAAAAGGCTTTTAGTCTAATCTTCAATAAATATATCAAAATTCCTTATCTTAATAAACTTCAAGATCTTTAATTTCACTCTTCTAACTCAAAATATTTCAATTTGATATTTTACTTAATTGAAAATCCATTAATAAAAACTGATTTAATACTATAAATGGTGATAAAAAAGGTAATGTATTCCTTTTAAGGTCTAAGTAAATAATATTTAAATATATTGAAAGATATATAAAACCTGTCAAATACATATATAGTTAGGTTGATCTAATAAATATTAAGAAAAATTTGAAACATAATACTAGTTAATTGAAACTTGTTATTAATAATTAAGTATTCAAATATTCAATTTTTAACTAGCCCATTTATTTTCAAAATATAATCTAATTTAATTAGATCATCTGTAATAACTTATTATTAATTTACACCATACATCAAAAAGAACACAACATCTGATCATTGATATTTAAGTGCTATAATTATAAGTAGGTTAAATTGGATTCTAGTGAAATTTATAGTATAGATAGAGTGTAAGATAATGTAATTAATATATAAATTAAAATAGTAATTGTATTAATAAAAAAATTTTAGAATGAAATTTTCAAAAATTTACTGTTGCGCAATTTTTGGAGTTTTTTAAAAAAAAATATAAATTTTTATTTATTTTTAAAAAAAAATATAAAAAATAATATAAAGGTATTTGAATATTATTACCATCTTGTATAACCACCTTTTGCCTTAATAATATCATTGATTCTCTTAGGCATTGTTTCTATATACTCTTTACAAGTTTTTTTCAGATATTTGATTCCAGATCTTTAACAAATTACTCCAGAGAGCTTCTTTGTTCTTAATATCAATCTCTAAATCATTAACTCTTCTTTTCAAAATATTCCAGATATTTTCTATTGTATTTAAGTCTGGAGATTGTGAAGGCCAAAAAATAGTTTTAATTTTTTTGTTTTTTAATCATTTTTGAACTATTTTTACCTTATGTTTTGGATTATTATCATGCTGAAATATGATATCTTTGGATGTTAAATTATAATATTCTAATAAATACATTAATTCTTCCTTCAAAATCTGTCTATATAACTCACTATTAAGATTTCCTTCAATCCTTGACAGATAGCCTGTATCAAAATAAGTAAACCACCACCATAAATTAATACTATTCTTGTTAAACTTGACTATAGGAATTATATGTTGATCCTTTAAAGGTTGTGTAGGTTTTCTCCAACAATATTTACATCCTTCAGCTCCAAAAAGTTGAAATTTGATCTCATCAGACCAGACCACCATACTCCAGTCCTCTATAGTCAAGTTTAACAAGAATAGTATTAATTTATGGTGGTGGT